GCAACAGCTGACCGAAAATCCATAACCAAGCCTGGTGGATTTGAGGGAGACCTCCGTGGCCAGTCTGCAAGTGTTGCTGAAAACGTTTATCCTCCTGAAGTGGAGTTAGGCACTTCTCATAGTGACTGCATTATTGGTGGGAATGAATCTGAAGAAACATTAACAACTCACATGTCCCGAAAAACTGCTGTATCTCAGTTTGAAGGGAAAGCTTTAGGCCTTGACAAAGCAATTCTGCACAGCATTGACTGCTGTGGTAAGAAAATTGTATTAATTTATGTATGTCATACTAATATTTCAGGCAAGATTTATGATAGTATTAGTAGATTTCATCAGTGTGTGTAAAATACTTATTTTCCCAATTATTCCATTAATTGTAATTTTCTGATTAGTTTATTATAGTTTATTTACAGTTCTTTCCTGTGCACTTTTCTAGCATCAGATGATACCAAAAAGAAAATGTACAGTTCGATCCTAGTAGTAGGAGGTGGCTTGATGTTCCACAAAGCTCAAGAATTTCTTCAACACAGAATTCTCAACAAAATGCCTCCCTCTTTCAGAAGAGTTGTTGAAAATGTAGAAGTCATTACAAGACCAAAGGTATCTTTGTATGGATTTATGCATGTTTTCAAATAGGAGATTAGCTGGAGATAGCATTAGGAAGTGCAAGGAATTAATTATGCAGTAGTGAAACACACTTTGAGATGATGAATAGGGCTCTCCACACCATTCAGAGGAATGCTTCACCCACAGTACTGTTGAGGTGGCCACATCTCCCAAAGGCTCAGCTGGGCCATTTGAGGGCCTTCTAGAATTACCTGCCCATGGCATTTGTATGCACAGAAGTACATTTCCATGGGGATTGGCAAAGTCTTCTGTACATAGTCCTTATAGTTAATTATCCCATGCAGCACCAGTTTTATTATACTAGTATGTATCAAATTGAAGTAGGCTATAATAAAAAACATGCACTGGAGTCTGTTTAAGAGTCAATGACATTTGCAAAATATTAGACTTTGGAGTGGTCTACAAAGTAAAAAGATGTTATTGTCCAAAAGTGAATTGGTTTTTTTCTGCTCTTTTAGAGCCTTTAGAATTTAGCCATATTTATAAGAGGTCAAGGAGCTGACCATGGGGATTGTGTTTAAGTTTTAACTCCATGGTGTTTTTGTATCTATTTAATATTAGGACATGGATCCACGTTTGATTGCTTGGAAAGGTGGTGCTGTTCTAGCCTGCCTAGATACCACACAGGAACTCTGGATTTATCAACGGGAATGGCAGCGCTTTGGTGTCCGTATGTTACGTGAAAGAGCTGCGTTTGTGTGGTGATCCAGTATTTTTTCGAAATAATAAAATGTTTCCTTGGTCCCTAGTTTTGTGTTTTAAGTTGATTAAACAGATTAAAGTATGTTTCTTCTGGAATCATTTAAAAATGAGGCATAATGGTATTAAAGATTTCTCTAAAACCCTTCCTCTGGTTCAGTGGTTCTCAAACTTGGCAACTTTAAGATGTGTGGCTGGGGAATTCCGGGAGTTGAAGTCTACACATCTTAAAGTTGCCACATTTGAGAACCACTGCTCTAGTTGAATGTTTTATAGTGATCTCAGTGAAGCGTGTGACAAAACAAAATTAACTTTTATGGAATCTTTATAATAAAAGTCTTGTCTTACCTGGTATCCTCATCTTCCTTAAACTCCAACCAAGGTAATTCTGAAGTATTAAACCAATCTGCAGAGTGCTAGGTTGGGTACTTGGAATGACATTGTAAGATTTTGGAATAAATTTGCTGGGCTGAACTGAAGAAGCATTGGGTTAAAAAAAATAATTTCGTTGTACTGAATGCTTTTATAGCATCTGGATTTATTTATTTATTTGTTTATCCAATTTACATGGCCACTCATCTCAAGTGACTGGGCAGCAAACAGAATTAAAATTAAATAAAATAAATTACAAATGTTAGAAACATTAAAATACAAACAGCCAAGAAACAACAAACTCAAGTCACTAACACAACCAAGATGTGGGCCCCTGCACACATTCAGGGCCCCAATCCCAGGCACATATTGGAATAATGCCAATTGGCAGAACTTGTACAGAGATTACAACTTTCAAAGCTTCCTGGCTACTGAACACCTATTGTCCAAGCAAATGCAAGCCACTTTATTTATTTATTTCATTAGATTTAGATGCTGCTTGACTCCAAGGCAACTCCAAGTCACCCACAATTATAGATCTATCATCTTTCTCTCATACACACACATACCAAAGACAATATATGAAATATATTTTAAAAATCCATCTAGATAACACACGCTAATTCCAAAAACCTATCTGACAAGGAGACTATCCACCCTACCCAAAGGCTTGGGAGAATGCCATCAGGGTGGGAGCCACACAAATCTCTGGAGGAAGGGGGATCTTATTCCAGAGACCAATGCAGCTTGTGAAGTAGTGGTGTCACATGACTGAGGTAATCTATCATTTCAGGGTTCAGTATCTTCAGTATGCTAATAATAGATACATCTCAACCCTGAACCAGCCAAATGTGCTGTTGATGTCCTGTCTCGGTGCCTGGTGGCTATCTGGGTCTGGATGGAGAGAAACTAACTCTGGTTCGATCCTACCGAAACTGAGTGGCTGTGGATTTTAGCATCCCCCAGATCCATCTTTTATTTTGGATGGGGTTGTATTTCCATATTCAAGACTGGTACAGTCTGGGTGGTTTTCTTTGACACACAGCTCCTGCTTGAAGAGCAGGTGGCAGCTACAGCGAAAAAGGCCTTTGCACAGCTCCATCGAGCTCCATTTTGAGTGTCCTTTAGACATTCACTCCCTAATCACTTCGTGGCTTGACTACTGCAATGCACTCTACATGGGGCTGCCCTTGAATACTGCTGCCACAGTATTCTGTGTGTCAAAGAAAACCACCCAGACTGCACCAGTCTTGAATATGGAAATACAACCCCACCAAAAAAAAAAGATGGATCTGGGGGATGCTAAAATCCACAGCCACTCAGTTTCGGTAGGATCGAACCAGTTAGTTTCTCTCCATCCAGACCCAGATAGCCTCCAGGCACCGAGACAGGACATCAACAGCACATTTGGCTGGTTCAGGGTTGAGATGTATCTATTATCAGCACACTGAAGATTCTGAACCCTGAAATGATAGATTACCTCAGCCTGAAGTTTTATGTAGATGTTAAACAGGAGGGGTGAGAGCATTGAATCCTGTGGCACATGACACTGGGGGGGCTGAGGGAGCAATCTCTCTCCCCAATGGAAAACACTTTGTGTATATTCGTTACTCGCATTTCATTCAAAAATTCAAGGCTGTTTAATTTTGTAAATGAGAGAGGGAGAGGAGCTTTTTTTCTTTCCAGCTTCTACAACAAAGTACCATAAAACAAAACAAGCCACAGCTATTATTTGTAAATAGTTCTGACTGAAATAGTGCATATTTAGCTGTCAGCAAATCATGAGCATGCGATTCAGTAGAAGGGCTTGTGAGGAGGAACCAACAGATGTTTGCAGTCTTCAAGTTTTATATTGTGCAACTGAAACACTGGAGAGAATCCACATCAGACGTAGGAAGCAGAGACATAATTTCTATCATGGGCCCAAACCATGTAGTGTTTTAAACATAATCAGCAGCCCTATTGTTCCCTGGAAATGAGTTGGCAACCATATCCGTTATGAAATTGTTACAATTCACTTTCCTAAGTGGGCACACAGGAATCCTACCCTTCACATTCTGGATTGACTAAAATTTCATGACAATTTCCAAGGCAAATCTTTGTACAGTGTGTTTCAGTGACCTTATCCTGGTATCTCTGGCTTGTATTTAACCTTTACAATGGGAGGCCCATTGTAACAACCTGATTTTTCAAAGTGTGTGCCTCATAAGTTCCTTTAGATAGATAGGCAGCCATATAAGTTTATTCATTAAATTAAAAGCATACCCTTCGCTTGGTCTCTTTCATAGTCAGAAGTACCTCTCTTTCTGTATTAAGCTTGGAGTGCTTCAAGACCCAGCCTCAGCATAGTATTCTGTATTGATTATTATGAACAATAGAGAATTGAGCTTTGACACAGGTACAGTTGCAATGGCATAAAATACTAGGCCCTATGAAAAGTTCCTGACTTAGCTGGAACTAGGTCTAGCTACTGTTCCCCCTCATTACTACCAGTGGCCAACTCAGGTTGCTGGTGCATTCATGCACGTCAGATCCCAGAAAAGTACAAAAAACATGAGGTGATAACAAAAACAGTGCAGCATCAGTAATTTGGAAATAATTATTTTTATTGACTAGTTCTGAATTATTCTAAATGTATAGTTCATTTGCATAGACAATTGAGTATCGCTAAATTAGATATTAGCTACTGGCAAGAAATATGCAACAAAGAGTTGGAATATCCCATATGAGCAAATCAATAGTGCTTTAAGGAACATTAAATATATATCTTACAATATAAAGATATAATTAATTCAAGAAAAGACTTCATTGATTGAGTGATTGAACTCTTAGTGAGTTTGGCACAGGCTGGCTGTCAACTTCAGTACTCTAATTTGAAAGTGCAGTGTGGCAGAGGGAACACCCTGGACATGTTTTTAGCTAGTTTCCTGGTTGTCCTGTTTTGGCTTGTTTTTTCTCCATTTGTTTATATGGTATTCAGAAGAAAAATAAGTTTCAAAATGTGAAGGTCATGCTGAATTATATATCAGACATTTGGCATTTATCAATTTATTGTGCATGGAGAGTAGCCAAAAATATGGTTTTACTTCTATGGGAAGAATCTACTACATTTAAAATCCTGGATTGGAGATAATTGCTTCCTTTCCACCTCTCTGTTGGCTTACTATTGATATATTGGATAGATGAACCAATATTATTCCATGTGGTCATGGTTTAATCTACTAGTTAAAAGCAGTTATTTTATTTATGCATTTTACCATTCACTGTTTCTTCCTTGTTCTTTTTTTATTAACTTTTGTCCCAGTATTTTAATGTTTTGTGGGTTTTTTTATTCTTTTCTTTTGTATATTAAAGCAGTAAAAATATTAAAATAGTGCACAAATATGTGTGTGAAATGTGTGACTATTACTAACTTACAATATTAATTCACTTTTATAGCTAGAGGAAAAATCTGAGAAACAATCCCATTTTAATAATCCACCTGCAATTCAGGTTTAATCTTAAATCTCCAGTTGCACTTCTTTGCAGCCTTATCCCTCAGACTCTGTGAAAAGTAAAGGTCTCTACAAAAGGAGTCAATATCTTTCATTAAAAAATAGCTTGGGCAGATGCTCAGTGGTCTTGGGAGATCTGGGCCTGGACGTGTTTCATTGAAAGAAACAACCATATACTTGTGGAGAGAAGAATCCATTTTCCAATCACCACAGAAGAAGTGTAATGCAAGAGTGAACATGCTTTCAGAATTCTTGTTACGGTTTTCTATGATGCTCTTACAAGCTGAATCACATGAAGGACTTGGGTGACTTGGGCAAAGAAAAATTATTTTGTCAGCAATTTCTTTCTGAGTAGCAAGCCACTGCACTGGTCCTATTTCAGCAATTCTCCGTTTTTGCCATAGGTCTATTATAACTTTACTTCCACAGTATTTCTGTAGAAATTCAGCAAAACCCAGGACAGTGTGCTGAAAACATGTTTCTTGAGAATATATAACAAGAACTGTAGTAGGAGTTTCTGCTGTTTCAGGATGGAAATGAGCCAGTTTGCTTACTGTACCTGTTTAAAAAAACAACAACACACTGTTAAAATGAAACTTGGAGCAAGCAAGTTCAAATTTAAGTAAGCTAAAAAAACCAGTATTTGTTACCTTGGGAATATACTGTGGCACGTTTTTTTACAATGCAAATTTAACTTAAAAACATACAGAAAAACAGTATGCTGATTTCTTATGAATATGGCACAGATAAATTCCTCTTTCCAAAGCAAAATAACAAAACTCTGGCTAGTAAGACCAAATTACTCAGGAAGAGTACAATTGTTTTATCTGATACTTTGGACTGTATCTAAAAGATAAATGAGGAGCAGTTATCATGGATCAGCTGAACTATATATAGAAGGGTGAGAAGTAACTCTCCAACACATTTTCAGACACCACATTTTCAGACATTCTCATGCTACTGAGGATTACCAAAAGTAAGCATACAACAGAATGAAGGGACTGCCTTTAATCTGAAAGCATTTTCTGTCTGCCCAGTGTACACGAGGTAGTAATTGTGAATGTCCTATTTGAAGAATCCATACAATCATAGTTGGAATTTCTTGTTACTTGGGCTGCATTTCAGACTTCCAGACCTTATGTCACAAAGTCTTGAAGTTGAATATACAATACTTCCATGGATGTCCACATAAGGGGGGACAATGAGGAAATGTGTCACAATGTTATAGGGCAAACATCATGACACATAAGAAAGGATTAAGCATGCAGTGTGACATCATGGCACACATTTTGTCATTTGGGTATCATTGTGGTTAGGAACAGATGCCAATGAATCTTTTTGAGGACACTACAATCAAACCACCAACAATCTCAAAGAAAACACTACCTTAATTACCATGGAGGCCTAAGCCCCTTACAGCTACATTCTCAACAACGGCAGCCCACAAGACATCAGGAATATCATCCCCAAATTTGCTATAGCATTTGACCACCAAGTTCTATGACTCTAATTATCTACCTCAATTTTCAGGAGAACGAATATTTTGAAATGAACAGTACATTCAAAAGCACATTGTCTTTGAAAGAGCAATACTTCTTATATTTTGTCCCCACAACTTTCTTCATTAGCTGAGATACATATACAGTGATTTCTCATCTTGACTCATGGAAAGGAAGTCCTAGCAAAGTTCTGTCAATATCGGTGTTTGGTAAGAAGTTGTTTCAGTAAAGGTAATTTCCCAGACACTGCTATGAAATCACAGAATGAACTTACCAGTACCACCTTATACTGGAAACCAACTAACCACCAAATTGTGGAGTCTTTGGTGCTCTCTGAGCTTGGTTGTTTGCTTGCAGATGTTTTATTACCCGACTAGGTAACATAATCAGTGCTAGGGAGTGTGGCAAGCAAACAACCAAGCTCAGAGAGCACCAAGGAATCCACAGTTCAACCCTAAGCTACGTATATTCTCTTCTATTGTAACCACCGAATGGTCTTACAGGTTTCCCATTTTCATGCACAAAACCCATGATTCTATAGCCACAACACCAACCTGACATCAGAAACAGCAATATCCAAAAATTGGTAGAATATTTCTAATCTCCAGGACATTCTGTCATTGACATCACACTTGTAATTCTTTCACTTAAACATTCCATTGTGAGAAACAGCTGAACTAGAATTCATTAGACTTAACTCTATTTCTTACAGATTAAAAAGAAAGTTTGTTATCATATCATATATCAAGAGTATGCCTCATGTAAACACTTTCTGCGGCAGCTACTTTCTATGAGTAATTTCCACTGTCTGCGTCTTTTCCACTCAATTTTTGTTCTAATCTCTTCTTAATAATTGTCTCCCTTTCTTTTGGTCTCCCTACCTCCCAACTATGGATGTGTCATACTCAGAACCATTTGCATATGCTAGTGTTTAAGATACCACAGGATTTGTTATTTTCCCAGTGAAGGTTACAGAATACATGGGTATTTTGAAATCCTGCATTTTCTTTGAAATTAGACAAAACACTGGATTCAGAGTGACAACTTCCCGTTCTTCCATTCCCCCTCATGGCACAGAATTGACAGGAAAAGGCAAAGTAGCACCTAGCATTTCAATGTCCTGAACCTTCTTCATTTTCTGGATGGAAGGTAGAGGAGCGACTATAAACAAGGCAATTTCTGTGGAATAAGAAAAGCTCTTACCATGCTTACATCTGAAATAAAGCCCAGTAGCAACTATGCACACTATAAGAAATAAAACGATGAATATGCCAGCGTAGTTTTTTCCCACATCTAAATGAGAAACAAAACAGTCAGATTTGTAAGATTTCAAGATTCTTTGAAAGTCTAAAATTAGCCTATCTAAATTAACAAAAGACATGAGCAATTACCATTTTTATTTCTCAGATGACAGTAAAATGCATTCCCATATATGCAGGTGATGATATAGCACAGATGGAGATGAGTCATTAGAACTTAAATGAGGAGTAGAGAAGATGTTTAGATGGCATCTAAAATACGCCAAGGTAGCATGGGTGCTTTGGTCCCTAAATTCACAATGACTTGCAGAACAATCTTCTGATAGTGCTCTAAATCAGGAATTGGCAACCTGAGGCTCTCCACTCCCCATTTTGTAGCTTTGGGGCATCTTTCTAACCATGCTTGCTGAAACCTACCACTTGGCTGGCATTTTGAGGTGCTAAATAGGTAAATACCATAGTGTAGGCCCTAAAACAGGAGTATCACAGGTAAGAAATGCAACCTGAAACCTTCTACCAAGAACAGAGTCTACCTTCTTGTTGCTACACCTACCCCTACATTGTAGTCCTGAACCTCCCCAAAATGTAAATGTTGACTTTGGCCACAAAAACTTTGTTCGTTTTACCACCATTACAATCACCCACTCAAAAGGTATAAAAGGAAAAAAGCCGCAGAGGTAACTAAAATGGTAGTCAGCCACAATGTAGAACTAATAGCTAAATAGAGTTTCCATATTCTTTGACAGACACACACAAAGGTCTTTCTTTGGCAACTGATGGCTGCCTGTGTCAGACTGAGGGGACCTTTATGACATTTCCAGTGCTGCTGCTGCTGTTGCTTTTTCATCCAGTGACTTAGAATGCATAGAGCCAAATGTGGGTGTAAGCTTTTATTGCTCACTTTCCAAACTAAGACTCCATGCACTCACAGGTCCATACACCTTTGTCAATAAGTAAGGCTCCTCCTGGGACCCTTCTCCATGTTGACTGGGGTCTGTAACATCCAGAACAGTAATTTCCCTTCCCAGGACAGTTTTACAGTCTGTGTTGCTAAGACAGTCCAATGTTTTTCCTTAGGGATTTTTTCTCATGGTTTGATCTTCTGCTGCTCAAAAAGGCACTTTAGTCCATCTCTCTTATTGCTGTCAGAAGCTGGTCATAAATAGGAAGATTGCTGAATGTGCAGGTAACAAACAGTTTTTAGCTGCTATCTCCGGGTCACAATCAAGACAAGGAGTTTCAGGTCTCTCTTCCGCTCCAACATCTAACCGCACTCTCTCCTCAAAGGATATTAATTCTTTACTCTCTTTATCTTCATTTTGCTCTCCTTTTTCATACTGTTACTATTTGCATTTCCCATCTTCAGTCACAATGCCCTAAAAATAAATTTCCTCTAGATCCAGAACCCTACAAAATTCTCTTATTTCTTCTTTTTTCTGAAAGAGAACTGATAAAATACTAAGTATCCAAAGAGAAAGGCTATCATGGTGTGCTTTAAAATTCAAAGGTTAAGAACAAAAGAACTAAGTAAGCAATTTAGAGACCATTCCAGGGAGCATATAGAAAGGTGTATTTTTCTGCTGTCATCTTGTCATAGCTTAGCATATGGTGTGCCCCAAAGGACTAGAGTTCCCATAAATTTTTATAACGTCCAATAAGGCTTGATCAGTCCATTGAAGCTTGACCATTCCCACCTTGGCACTTTTCTAATAAATCCTGACATTTTTCTATGAAAGAGCTATTATCTCATCCAGTTCATATGGAAATCATCTTTTGTTGAAAGAACTGTCTTCTTGATGTGTCTTCCTCAATGTGTTCCTTCTGGTACTTTTCCACATGCTGTATATGCTGAAATCTTCCTGGACAATTCTTTCTGTTTCTATGGCCTCCTTTGAATGTCCATTCACAATTATGCAAATGCATGGCATAAAGCTACTCATTATCACTATACCACAACATTATACAATGATTGGCATTGTATACTAAAGCTGAAAATGTAGCAGAACATTACACCTATTTCTTGGCTGTTGCCATCAAAACTGTAGCTTTTGGTTCTGCAGAAAACTGGAGGATTCAGAGATGGCATGTGTTAACCATGTATAACCACATTTATACCACATGCCATTTGCTACATTTTCAGCAAAAGCAACCCACAAAAAAACCCCAAACCTGAATGAAAATGTCTTTATTCAGGTTTAACACATCAAAACAACTATCTTTGCCTCCCTCACTCCCCACCCCCGCCAAAATCCAACCCAGGTCACCCTGGGGCTATCACTGAATTGCACACTATGGGTCCTGGCTGCTCGCACATATCTATTTCAAAAGGGTGCTTTCCATCACCTTATGTCTTGCTTATAAATAACTCAGGGACTCTTGACTGCTCTTATTTATACACCAAATTATTATTTTATCTCCTGCTCTTCCTCTAAAACTATTCAGAGTAACTAATGTGGTTCTTCTCCCTATCTCCAAGCTCTTTTCTTCTCACATCCCTGTAAGAAAATATAGGTCGAGTGGCAGTCTGAAGGTTCCCGAATGAGCTTTATGGTCTCACTGGCCAAACTTAGGCTTGCGCTAACAAAATGAGCATATAGAGCTTAATGTTGCCTTCCATAAATAAACATTTGAAAATCTCAACTAACCAGGGATAGGTTCTTCGGTGCAAACTGTTTGATAATATGAGTACCTTCGGCAATCATTTTGACATCTTGGAAAATAAGGAATTAGCTGGAAGAAGAGAAGCAAAACAATAATACTGGTATTATTATTAAATACAGTGCTTAAGTAGTGCTTTTATATTTTATTTTGCTTTGGGAAATTCTTTAATAACAGTGAAGAAGGTAGTGCTATAAGAATAGGGTTGTAGAAGAGATCCACTCTGTACTTCTCTAATTAAAAAAAATGGCATGTTCCATCAAAATTAAATCCATTATGGCTAGACATACTGTAGATTCCATTAGCATCAACAGTTGTTGGAGAAACATCTGTAAGAGAGAATTTCTAAATTTATTTCCATCCGATTTATGATTTACAAGTTTTCTCTCCCTTCTCACTTGGCCGCGCAGGGACCAGTTGAAGTTCATTTTGTCTCCTCAGGCAGGACGCTAGAGTACTTCAGTCAGTAAAGACTTTACTATGGATTTGCAAAGCCTGGTCAAGCACACATGGCCACTTTTAGTAACACTCCATGGGCAAGACATCGATACAAGGAAACAGGGTGTATTTAATCAAGCAACAAGTAATGTGATTACAAAAAGTTTAAAATACATTCTCTATGCTGCGTCACATCTGTTAAATGCCAAACCACAACTTTCCGCTAGTTCTAATTGTCTGACCAACTTCCTCTTGAAATCTAACCACTAATACAGAAGTAAAGCTATGCTAAAAACTTGCTAATTAATGGCTGCTATACCTAAAACTCTGGCCATGCTCAGGAGCCCTATGCTAAAACATTAATATTCAAATTGCTTAAATTCTTCCACACCATCTTGTCAAGAATCAGTAATAAACAACATTAAAAATTACATTCAAGAATAGAGCAGCTACCTTAAAACTGATGGAAATGGCAGAAAATGATAAACTGACCTGCTTATTAAAAGAAAACTCAAATAATTATTACCTTAA